GCAGTGATCACATCTCTTAGAATGGCTAATATCAAAAAGACAGGAAATAACAAGTGTTGACAAGGATGTGAAGAAAAGGGAATCTTCGTGCACTATTGATGGGAATGTAACTTGGCAGAGCCATCATGGAAAACAGCATGGAGGTGCCTCAAAGAATTAAAAATAGAACTACCATAGGATCCAGCAATACTTCTGAGTATTTATCCAAAGAAAAATTATGTTAGCTCAAAAAGATATATGAACCCCTGTTAAGGGGGTAGGAGAAGAGTAAAGGAAGCAAGATGGGATTGGGAGGGAGATAAACCATAAGTGACTCTTAATCTCACAAAACAAACTGAGGGTTGCTGGGGGGAGGGGGGTTGGGGGGGTGGGGTGGGGTTATTATGGACATTGGGGAGGGTACGTGCTATGGTGAGTGCTGTGAAGTGTGTAAACCTGGCGATTCACAGACTTGTACCCCTGGGGAAAAAATATATTATATGTCTATAAAAAATAAAATTAAAAAAAAAAGATATATGAACCCCTATGTTCATTACAGCATTTTTAAAAATATTTTATTTATTTATTTGACAGACAGAGATCACAAGTAGGCAGAGAGGCAGGCAGAGGGAGAGGGGGACACTGGCTCCCTGCTGAGCAGAGAGCCTGATGCGGGACTCCATTCCAGGACCCCGCAATCATGACCTGAGCCGAAGGCAGAAGCTTAACCCACTGAGCCACCCAGGTGCCCCTACAGCATTTTCTACAATAGCGAAGATATGGAAACAGCCTCGTGTTCATCAGTTGATGAATGGATTTAAAAATAAAACTGTGGTATGTGTATATGTATACACCCACACACAGGAATATTATTCAGCTGCAAAAAGGAGGAAATCTTGCCATTTGTGACAACATGGATGGACCTTAAGAATAGGCGCTAAGTGAAATAAATCAAAGAAAGACAAATACCATAGAATCCCACTTACATGTGGAATCTGAAAAAAACAAAACAAAACAAAGCAAAACAAAAAACTGGGTTCCTAGATACAGAGAACAGATTGGTGGTTGTCAGAGTGAAGCTAAGGGTTGGGAAAATGGGTGAAGGGGTCAAAAGTTACAAAATTCCACTTATAAAGGCAGTAAGTCATGGTGATATAATGTACGCCATGGCAACTGGGGTTAGTTAATACTGTATTGCTTCCTTGAAAATTGCTAACAGAGTGGAACTTAAAAGTTGTCATTGCAAGAAAAAAAATTGTAATTATGCATGGTGATGACTATTAGCTAGGCTCATTGTGGTCGTCACTTCACAATGCATACAAATATCAAACCATTATATTGTACAGCTGAAACTAATCTATGTCATTTGCACCTCCATAATAATAATACTAAAACAAAAACTTCTGAATAAAAAAAAAGAAGGCAGTGAGAGTTAGTGAGTAGCCTAATTCTTAGATGAACCAAGATTCATCCCCTTGGGGAAGGGAGGGACCCAGTCTTTCTTGAAACACGTGGTGGCTTGATAACTAAGTAAAATCAGGGTTCTGTTATCAAGGAAATAGGGAGAGAATAGTTTTGTGAAGTTTACCATGGATTTGCACAGAAGATTTTTGAACAGCTAAAGCTGTAGAAGCACCTGTTATTAATACGTACTATAAACTGTGAAGATGATTTTCAGTTTTCAAATCACAAGCAGTCGGCTTCATAATTGTTGGTCATTAAAGAAAATGAATTCTTTCTTGTCTCCTTAGGCTCGGAGCTACTCAGACATTGAGAAGCAGGTTTGTCAAGATGACAGAGGACCAAGGTAATGGATTCCAGTGATGAAACAGGAAATTCATTCATGAGTTTTGGGCACATCTCCAAGTTAACTACCTAGCCAGAAATGGAATCACTAGGTTTTCCTACTTCTGTTTTATTATCCTCAATGAGAATGACCAAATATGAGGCTAGACGGGACCTTAAAGAAAATCTGGCTCCCATTGTACCCCATCCTGCCAACCAGCCACCCATGTTAATATTTTAAAAAGCAAAGGCATAAAGAAGTTATGCAATTCCTAGAGATTACATCAGAAGTCTGCTGCAAAAGTGAGATCTTTTCTCCACCTTTCTCCAGCCCTGCCTTTGGTGCTTCTTCCTACAATGATTTCAGCGTTTCTCTGATTGTAGTTCTGTATATCAAAATTGAATGCTGTCTAGGAGATGCTAAATAAATGGGATTTCGCCTTAACACTCAGTTTTCTAAAGGAACACATGGGGGCAGCAAATGTTTAGGAAAAACGTCCAGATCTAACATGTAGGAGATTGTGTGTGTGTGTGTGTGTGTGTGTGTGTGTGTGTGTGTGTGTTTGTATTTGGAAAATGTTTGGAAAAGAGATTTTCAGAGACAGTGGTAGTCATGGTGATTCAGTTTTGCTTCCAAATGTGCCACCGCTAAGAGATTATCAAAAGCACTCTTTATAAATGGAATGTCTTCTTCAGAATGTTTGTTAATATTAAAGAATTTATTAAAGAAGTTAACAATGAACTTATTAGTTGAACTTGCTGGTGAAGATTTCCTTCAGCTGCTATTATAACCCATTTTCATTGTTATGATTACTGATGAATCAACATTCTCTTTTGGTAGATACTTCAATTTTTTACTTTCCTACTCATTTAATGTTTTCTTCTTATTTTTGCTTGTTTCTTTTTGCTCTCTAATAATTCTTCCCAAATAGTGACTCTATAAGTATTAGCCCCGCTTTCCTGCCATCACTTATTACTAGAAGTGGGCTGCTAATATTAGAATTGTGTACTCTAAAATATCAAGCAAGTGTCTAGACAATGATGAGACATTGCAGGCATAGTTAGACTAGAAGTGTTTTACATTTTCTGGTTTTCTTATAGCTTTCGGTAGAGGTTGACTGTTTGGTGGGAAACAGTCACCAGTGCAACATCAACATTAAATCCAAGAGCCGTCTCTCTAGCACCACCAGAATCAAGGCCTTGGTCATTTCTATCAACCCTGAACATTCCCCATCTGCAATTAACAATGGGTACATAGGTCATATTTAATCTCAACTCCTTTAAAGCGGGTTCGATACTTAGGTTTACAAACATTTAGTTAAAAGGGTATTGGAATCAGGCCTTTAATCCCGAGCACAGTCTAGGACACAGTGTCATGGACTAACTCAGTGGGGGAACAGGTGTAGCGAGGGAAAGGCCACCCGTCTGGACACCTAGTCCTGACTCCCTTGGCTATCAACAAGCTGAATGGTGTTGGGCTCAGAACCTGTACAAGTACTAGGCTCAGAACACACTTTGTGGTGAAGGGCATTATAATGATTCTTTCTCCCTTGGGATAAAACTAGGGAAAGCATCTTGAATTCCAGCTTTTTGGGAGGTTTGAGCCAGGCTGCTGTTGAAAATCACATCAGATTGTTCCTAGCTAGTGTTGGCATTGAGATACACCAGGGCCAAGGAATTCCTACTGTTTAAAGAATTTTTGCTTTCTTAGTTTCTCTTTCTAGCAGGAAATGAAAAAGAAAAAAAATGCTAAAAATCTTGTCAATATCCTGGGAGGTGGGGTTGTGTGTAAATATTTGAACACAATAAGAATATGTAAACTGGATATGTATTTTTTTACATTTTACTTAATCTGAATTTTATATAAAGGTGTTTGTACGCTCCAACAATGAAAGGAGAGAATATGTATTTAAACAGTTTTTAAGTTTTATCCTTTATTCATACACTTGAGAGTTTCCTCTAGCTGTAGTTTTAAAATTAGAAAAAAAAAAAAAATTGGGGCCCCTGGGTGGCTCAGTCGGTTAAGTGTCTGCCTTAGGCTCAGGTCATGATCCCGGGTCCTGGGTTCCAGCCCCGGATCCTCCTCCCTGCTGCGGGGGGAAGGGCCTGCTTCTCCCTCTCCCACTACCCCTGCTTGTGTTTTCTCTCTCTCTCTCTCTCCTACAAATAAATAAATATCTTTTTAAAAAAGAAGATTTAAAAAAATTTAAGATAACTGGAAATTAAAATCAGTCAACTGCTATTGTCTGTTCAAAAAAATGTCTCAGACGACTTTTCCTTCAAAAGTTCCTGAAGCAAATGAAAATGAGTTTTTCAAAATGAGAAATCAAATATTTAAACTGAAGACCACAGTTAACTTAGTATCCCATAACTTTGGTATTTTAAATAGTAATTCTCAGAGAGGGGAGGTCAAGTCAGAAAGGGAACTGTGTGTATAAATTGTCAGGTTCTGGTGTTTGTTTGCAATCGCTTCCCAAGAAAAAACTTCCTTTCCATTTTCCTCAGCACTGCACTTCAAAGGACAATTGTATAATTCTTATATCCACAACATAAGGACTGAAATTACCCAATTAGGAAGGTTGTGCCATTTACATTGTAAGATTTAGAAAAAATACACTTCGAGTTTGGAAACAGATGAAGAGATGTGTGCCGTGTCGATTTTCTAAAAACCTCACATGCTTGATCTGGCCTTGTTCAATTATCAACTTAAATTTCCAATGCAACTTGCCATGTAGAAATAAATACAGTAGAACACAATACCATTTGAACAATGCCTCCCTCCAAGTTTCCAGAGCCGTTTTAAGCATCCTTTTATTTTGGAAAAAAAGAAAAAAAGACTTCCAAAAATATATTTTTTTTCTTTAGGCTCAAGAAGCAAGACACACACATCTTTGAATTTGGAACATGTAATTGGAAATCCAGAGATAGCTGGCCTGTTCCTTGGAGGTCCCTGATAGTCTTGCACGGCCTCAAAACGCAAGCAGAGCACCCCCACTGTGGGCAAGTCTTCCGGCAGCGCGTGAAAAGCAGTAAGGCTCCATTATTAGGAAACTGCATGAGATGCCAACATGGAAGTCGGACAGGTTTTCATGGCAACCGAAGTTTGCTCTTTTAAAGTCTGTGGTCGCGTGAAAAAAAGCAGTGGAATCTGGCGTGTGAGCCCACCGTCAGGAGCTTCCTTGAGGAAGGCAGAAAGGCCAAGCTCCCGGTCTCCACTTTTTGGAAAAGAAGGCCTTACCTCGGGTTTCTAAATTAAAGGGGCAAATCCTTGAGAAAAGCTCAGAGCGCGCAGTGCAGCCGGTTCTGCCGCTAGGCAGCTAAGACAAACTGAAAGTAAACGGAGCCTCGCCGGAGTCCAGCCACGACGGCAGACCCCTCCGGGCAGCGGGAAATGGGCGAGCGTTTAAGCGCCCGCACAAAGGGAACCGGGACCGAGCGCTCGGACAGCCCCGGCTTTGCATGCGAAAAGTTTTGAGGCTTCCTTCCCAGACTTTCAGGAGACGTGCCTCAATTTAGGAGACTCTCTGTCTCCACCAGACTCTCAATTGTGAATGGGAGGGAGCCCGATCGGCTCCCCCCACTCCCCGCCGCGGCCCGCCCGGCTTTGGCGCCAGAACGCCCTCCAGACCGAAGCCCGTGCGCAGCGGGGACCGTCCGCCCGGCGGGGGCGCCCAACTCCCGGCGCGGCGCCCCCTTCTCCCGCCGCCGCCGCCGCCGGGTCCGGCCTCCAAGCCACACACTCCCTCCGCCCCCGGCCCCCGGCCCCCGCACCCCGGAGAAGACCCGTTCGGCAGCCGAAAGTTTGGGGGGGGGGATGCTGGGAGCGCGGCTCGCCGGCGGCCCGGGTGCGACCCTCCGCGCCGCCTGGGAGCACTCCCACCTGTTTGCCCAGATGCCGCCCTAAGGATAGACACTGGGAGCCCGGATGGTGACCAGGCCCCGACCGAGGCGCGGCAGGGCACCCGGGCGCGCACCTTTTTCTAGATTGCGTGACCCGAGGGGCAGCTGCGTGGGAAGCCCCTAGGGCAGGGCGCGCTCCCCGCGGTGCCAGCCGCAACCGGGACCCAGCCGCGCCGGAGGCCCGCCGCAGGGAAAGGCGCCGAGCCGCCCCGCCCAGCCAACCTAGCGCCCTTTAGGTACAGATCCGGCAAGCTTGCCCTAGGAACCGGGCCCGGGGTGCGGCGACTGGGTGCGCAACGGATCAGCAAACTTAACCCGACCGATTTGGGGCAAGATGGAGAGGAGGGAGACTGCAAGCCGGCAGTGCCGGAAGAAGTCGGAGAATGGAGGAGAGTTGTGATCGGACTTCAGATTCCCGGGACAAGTCCCAGACACGTGGCCTGGGCGAGTGAAACAGAGGTGCATAGCAGGGTTCCAGGAGTTGCGGGTGGGGGAGGGGCGACAGGGAGAGAAAGGGTAGAAAAGAAAGACTCAGAAAGAAAAAGAAGCCCAGAGCTCAGAGGTTGAGTAAAAAGTTCCATCTGACCCCAAGTCAAACCCAGGTGTCGTTCTAAAGTGTAACCCGCGAAAGCGGCCGACGCCACCTAGAGAGGCGGGGAAACGCTGAGTTTGCAGGGGGTTGTTTAGCAGTGACGTCGAACTTGTTCCTAAGTTGGCTAATTCTAATGCTGGGAAGTTGCTGGAAGATTGACACGTCTCCGCACCTACGGCCGAGACAAGCCCTGTGTTGCCAAAGGATGGACAGGTAAAACCCAGGGGTCGCAGTTTTTCGCTAAGACAAAGACGAATAGCGGCGGCTTGCAAACTCCGCCTCGATTAGAGGCATACAGTTCCCCAGGTGAGTGGTTCCCAAATTTGAGCGCGCACCAGCATGGCTGGGAGGGCTGTTTCCAATACTGATTGGTGGGCCTCACCTTCAGAGTTTGCAGCAGAGCTAAAGTGGTGCCTAAGAATTTGCATTTCTATTAAGTTCCCATATGATGCTCACCTCGCTGTCCTATAGACCACCCTTTAAGAACCACTGCCCTAAGCCATTAGTTCTCAAATTTGGCTGCACAGTGCAGTCACCTGGGATACTTTTAAAAATATTTATACTTGGGTCCTAATCTCCAAAATTCTGATTCCATTGATTTGGGTGCCACTCGGGTATCAGGATCTTCACATTCTTTAGGTGATTCTAATATCGAGCAAAGGTTGGACACAACTGCCCTAGGTTCACTTATTGTCCCAAGATTACACAATAACTTGTGTGTGGGGAGAGGGGACAAGGACCTTCCCCCATCCTGTTCGTGGGGATTCTGCCAGCATTAGATCTAGCATCTCAGTCTTGGGAAAGACAAGTCCCCCGCCTTAAGATGTTTTGCACAGTGATGCAAGCATGACGTGTACTCTCTGTTTTCAACTGTATAGGAATTACAAAGGATGAAACAATTTCCCCGAGGTTTTAAAAATACAAATGATAATTTCTCATTGATAATACTGCATGCCCCAGCTCAGAATATCCCATTAGGAGCCAAAGTGATCTCTCTGGGTTAGTGATTGCAAGCGTCATGGAGCCCAAGAATCCCAAATCTAGGCTAGATCACAGGCACTTGGATACAAATTCACCAGATGATGTCCTGGTACATTAATGTCGATTGCAGGGGAAATTGCAACCTTGACTAGGAGAGTGGGGGTGGGGGGAGCGGTACTGGATTTGAGGATCACCTATGCCACGCCCAAACTCTGGTTGTATTATGAAGTCTTGAATTACTGACAACTAGACTAGAAAAGTCTTCACAATGGAAAGGAAATGGGGAGGGTGGGAAAGCCATCTCTCTTTGCCCTTCCAAGGGTGACACAAGGGGCAGAGACACCTGTGCCCCAGAGGAAGCCCCCAGAGGTACTCTGCTGGGCATAGGTTTGATCGCGGGAAGGATTTCTCATTTCACTCTAGACAAGCCAAGGGATGAAGATAACCCAAAGAGACTGGACACTCACGGGGATTGCTTATAACTTCCCAATAATTTTGCACCCATCCCCCAATTTCCAGACCATTTGGTCTGTATTGCCAGAGCGGCCTGAACCATATCCTCCTCAGAAACAAGTATGGGTGGGGGAGGGGGACACCATGGGAGTTAAAGGGAACAAAACCCTCCGCCACTCTTAGGAATTACTGAGGACTGCTAGTGAACCCTGCACTGCCCCACAGGGAAGGAGGATCAAGAGGGACCTCGCAGTTTCCAGGAACTCACTTTTCTCTCCTCTCTGCTCATCTGTGGGGGGTGGGGTGGGGGTCGAGCATCTTTGAAGACCCTAGAAAAGTAAGCATCCGGTGGGAGACCTACAAATGAGTGGATTCCAAAGACGAAGAGAGTGATCGGGCACTCTGCCCTACCCAGTCCTGGACCGGGCTCCCCATCACACCCCGGAGCCAGAGCTGGGGCTACCCTCAGTCTTTCCCCGCCTGGAGGGACGCTGCTTGTCCAAGAGATTTACTCTGGAAGATTTGGGCGAATTCCCCTTTCCTTTGCTGTCCCCGCATCCCCCGCCCCACGCGCGCATGCACACACACACACACTCCTCGCGGTTCTTCGCTAGAGTTTCCCTCCGGGGCAGATTACTTTATGACAGGGTGTGATAAGTGGTGATTTTGTTCCTCTTTTGATGGCAGGATTGCTTTGTAAACAGAAGCGCAAACTCGTTCGGATAGTGGTTCCGCACCAGCGAGCGGCGGCAGCCCTGGCACAGCGGGCGGCGGAGGCTGCGGCTGCACCTGTCGCCTGGGGCCTGGTGGAACCCGGGCCACGCGTGGAGGGGGTCACAGTCCTTTGACCTCCAGGGCACCTTTAAGTTTTTGGCCTCTGGGCCTCCTGTCTTTGCACCCCTCGGGCCTTCTGTACCCAATGCTCCAAGAACTCCCAGTTCAAAGTGCCTGCCTGGGAGGCACCTAGGTAAGCGCAGCTCAGGGACGCGGTGTGTCCCTTCTGCACTCTCTCTCTCGGCAACTTCGGTGAGAGGTCTGGCTTCCTCTGCGGTTACTGGTAACCCTAATCCTTTGCTCTAATCCAGTTGGAAAGTTGAGAGGGCTTTTGTGTGCTGAAGGAATCACTGGAGGGTCCTGGCGTGGCAAGTCACCCCATAGCTCCCCTCACTTACCCCCCCCCCCAAGAGTCCAACCTTTTCCCTTCCCTGCTCTGATCCTGGGGTCCACTTTACCACTGAGAGGGGCCCATGAATGACCCAAAAGTTGAAGGTTCTGTCAGGTTTAAGGGCCAGAAAGATGAACTTCTGTAGGGGAAGAAGCTCCAGGTGCAGTGAGCCGTCATTCAATCTGTCGCAATAATTCCAGACTCCTCTAAGGGAAAAGCAAGCTGAGGCCACCACAGGTGTGAAATTCTGAGTTAACCCATTGCTCAGACTTGAGTTTAAATTTCCAAGTGCCTTAAGGAGCCTCCACTGGGCGGGGTGGGGAACGCTGGGGAGGGGCACTTGATGCGGAGTGAAAAAACGAAAAGGTGAGGTAAGTCCAGAAAGTTCTGGGGTGGGGAGGAATGCGGTTGGAGCACAGCTCTACCCTAAGGGAGAGATTGCTCCCGCTGCAACTTTGGGGCTCCTGGAGCTGGGAGGCGGGTTACAGGATATGAAAAATTCCACCCAGATACCTCTGGGCACTGGGGTCTGTAGAGAGCCTGAGGTGAGCATTACATGAAGCTGGGAGATTGGCGCCTGCTGACACCAAGTTTTCCAGCCTCTCCCCGCAGCTTTGGCCGCCTGCACTGAGCAGCGCACAGAAAAGTTTGCGGTTGAGTCGAGAAGTCCCAGGACCTGTTAGCTGTGGAACCTGCTTTTTGGAGGCAGGGTCGGGAGAGGGGAGGAGGACTCCTGCTGATCTCCTTTTCCTTGACCCAGCAAGAAAAAAAGAAACAAGAAAAAAAAAAAAAGTCTCACTTTTCTCTGGTTCGCAGGAGGCCTGAGGCCACAGTTCTGGAGACTGCTAGGTGCTGACGTGGGTCACCAAGTGCAGCCAATGGTCTTGGGACTGCCCTGGTACTGGGTGCATCTGACCCGAGTCTGGGTGCTGGGTGAAGTTGGGAGGTGCCACCCCGCCTGCCCCCCAGGGCTCCCATCTGGAGGCAGAGTCAGGCTGGTGTTGGCCTCTGGAGAGGTCAAGGGGTGAAAGGCCGGGAGTGGAGAATGGGTATCTGGGGAACAAGGGGGAGGGCCCACACTTGAAGAAGAGGGTTTTATGGAAGGAGTCGCTGGAGGTGCCGTTGACCACAGTGTCTGAATGCAGTGTGCCAGTGGAGGGCCAATGGAGTTGACTGCATCTTGAACTGAACCAGCCTCAGGGAGTCTGAGGGTGGGGGATGGGCGGAGTAGACTGTCCTTGACCAGGCTCCGCTGCTTTCCTTGGGCTAGTGCTGTGCTAAGCGCTTTCCTCTGTTGAATTCTCACAACAAATCACCCATTTTACAAATGAGTAAAACTGAGGTTCAAACGAGCTCAGTAACTTCGCTCAGCCTGTAAATGTAAATGGCTGCGCGGAGTCTGGACCCCGAGTGGTCGTTCTCCAAAGCGAAATGCTTGCTCCCGGCTGCTTCCGGAGTCTTCCTTCTCAGTCCCCTCCCCACCCGGACCCTAGCCCCAGTCATCCGAACAGAAACCCTCACGCCCAAGGCCTAGGCTACTTCGATTCCAAATCTTCTTGTCCACTCCCATGCAACCCAGCGCAGCAGCGTGGCTTCGCGCTTAACCGCGCTGGTAGCTTTGCCTTCTCTTTCCCGCACACGCCCTGCCACCCCCCGCCCCTAAAAGGTACCAGAGTTGGAGACGGTCCTCTTTGCGCCCCACCCCAGCCCCAGCCCACGCTCGCCGGACCTTCCCGAGCTCGGCCGGGCCCCGCCAGCGGGTCTCGGGTCCCTCCAGCTCTTGTGCCACCCGTGCGCGCGAGCAGTGAGGCTGCCGCGGCCGGGAACGGTGTTCATTTTGTAAGAGAGCACAGCGCCCCCCGCCGGAATCTCCGGGACGCGCCTCCCGCGTCTGTCTGGGGACTTTAAAGAATTCGACGTTCAGCGACCTGCTCTGACAGTGTGGAGAAAGCCGGGAAAGTGAAGTGGAGATACTACGGGTTAAAAAGGCCATAATTTTAATTATTTAAAGTTCTCGCAAGGAGAAAAAAAAAAGCCCTCACAAACACACACCAAACTTGTTGAGCAAGGTTCTAAGGCAGGTCCAAGAAAGTTTCAAATCCACAAGAGAATAGGTACAGGGATGAGAGTCCCTCAGCCCAGGGACGACTCAAATGCCTAGGCGACACGGGGGTTCCTTGAGAGTCACCAACCACACCATCTCTGTGCATGCCAGGAGGGTACAAGGCCAGTGGGGCAGGTATGGAGGCTCGAGCTCAGAGCTAGAAAGGGGCAGTTTAGGTATGGGGACAAGTCTTCACTCCTCAGCTTCTGAGCTGACCTCTTACACATTTTGCCTGACGTGTCGTGGTCGATTTGAAGCTGGTTCTTTGTTCCTCTTAGTCCCCGCGACGGCAGCCAGCCGGGGAGGGTAAACGGCCCTGAGGGTAAAAGGCCCTCAGAGCCTTTCCCCGGGGTTACAGGCCCAAGCCCCGGATTCTCCGATCTCGTCGCTGTCGGGATGGGGCGGGCAGGGTCTCGGAGGAGCGCGGCCCGAGGCTAAGCTCCTCACCCGGGCCTCCCTCCCAACCAGGTGTGGTTCCTGATGCGGAGGTGAGCTCCTCGGGAGCCCCAAATCCTGTGGCTTCCTTTAAATCTCCCTTCTAATTAGAAGCAGCGGTGAAATCACTTGAGTGATTTTATCTGTCATGGGAAAGCAAACCCCAGCCCAAACCTCAGTTGCCCATCCCAGAACCACCAACGCCCCCATTCTCCTTTAAAGACTTATTATTGGAAAAGATAAAGAGCAGGGATCTCATAGAGGAGTGGGGGAGGGGGCCACCGTAAATAGAAGTGTAAGTGTATGAGTGTGCAAGAGTGTGTGTTTGTGTGTCTGCGGTGGGAGGAGACTAAACTAGAAGCCAGAAATGAAACAGAATCGCGAACGTTTCCACTTACTGGGAAACATTGTGATCTGGGATTGGACGCTGAACCCCCTGGGGGTTGCGGACTCCGATCCGCGAGGGCCCGGACTGTCCTGAATCTCCCGGGCTAATGGGGAGGCCCGCCCTAGGGTCTGGCCGAACCGCATGCGTACAGGTGTGCGGGACCTATTGGGTCGGGCCCAGTCTCCGGGCCTTGCTCTTTTCCCCTCCCCACCTCCAATTCTCCCCACTTCGGGGTGGAGACTCCCAGCCCCAAAGTTCCGAGGAGGGGAGGAGAGTCTGGGGAAGAGCGCGCAGATGCCCCCATTGCTTGAGTGCGAAAACACACCCACTCACACTCGCATCGAGCCTTGCACACCCCAGCAAGCAGTCTGCCTCTGTTCCCCGGTCAGAAACTGACCGGGAAAGCGGGTTGGGGCTGTTGGGAAAAGCTGGAGCTGATGGCGAGATTGCCGCGGCTATAAATCCATCACTTCCCAGGTCAGCTCTGCGAGGCGCTGGGACTAGAGCTGGCGGAGTGAATTCCTGGGCTAGCGCGCATGCGTCGGCAGGTAGCAACCCAGCTCTTTATGACCAGGTGAGATGTTGGTGAGCAGGTAAAAAAGGAGGATTTGTCTAAGCGATTCCAGGGAGCGGGCCCGGCCGAGCCCTACAGCCCATGCCCGGCGGGGATCCATCGCCTGGAGCGCCGAGCCGCGATGTCCATACTTGCCAAAATGGGGGACTGGCAGGTACGGGGGTTTGCCTTGGCTGGGGCTGATGTGGGCGGGGGGGGGGGGGGGGGGGGGGCCGGGAGGGGGGAGGCGGAGAGGAAGAGCCTTGGCCCTGGGCAGGAGAGTCGTAAGCGAGGCGCGCCTGGCAGCGCCCAGGAGAGTTCCCAGGAGAGAAAGGGCAGAAAAAACACGCGCTGCCGGCGGGTCCGGAGCGGAGGGAAGTCCGGCACACGCTCCACAGGTGGCCCCGGGGGTCACCTGTGGTTTGCGCTGCGGCCTTTCACGCCCCCCCTCCCCACCCGGTGGAAACAAGGGAGGATGACTAATTCGAGAGGGGGAAGGGCGCGGGGCGGGGGTTGCAGTGCGTGGTAAGGAAGGTTCACTACTCTGTACGCCTTCGTTCTTGCCCTAGACCCCAGGGCGACGCATGAGGTGGGGTTCTGATGCACCTGTCTCTCTTTCTGTCTCCAATTTGGGGGGCCTAGTGGGTGTGGAGAATGGAAAGGGGTCCGGATGGACGGGGCGCGCCCGCGAGAATGTTCTTTGGGGGAAATACTTAAAAGAGTTTGCACAAAGTTTAGCCTCTCTCTCGGTCCGAGTTGTGAAGCCAGTTTTCGCCTCTTGGGCTACAGACTGGGGTGACTGGATAAGGGGTGAATGGTGGGTGATAAGGGAGGTCCAAAATTTGCAGAAACCGAAGTCTGCCAAACTCGGCCGGCTAGGCCTCGGATACCTCAAGGCCAAATGGGCTTTTGATCCTGCCCTTCTTGAGTCCTGACCCAACCCGGGCCACAGGAGCATTCTTCCGGCTCTCTCCTAACGTCCAGACATTTCCCCTGTGGAAACCAGGGCAGCTCTGCACAAGCTGGTGAGGGTAGCAGACTCTCCTCTTTTCCCGATTTCATCATGGGAACCGTGGGGCCCTATTCCCCTCCCCCCACCTCCCACCGAACCTCCTGGCCAAGGGAGGCCTGGTTAGGGCAAGATTCTGTGCGCCTAAAAGGCTGCAGGGTGATTTGAACCGAAGGTGGGGAACTTCCCAGAGAGAAGTCAAGGCTCTGCCCTTTTCAGGGGTGAGTTCTTTTTCTTTTTCTTTCTTCAGATTCATGCCATTAGAAATAAAGTTCAGAGAAGTCTCATCTTTTCTATATTCTTTGGAATTGGGAAAAGGAAATAGTCTTGCAATTTTTACTTCTCTCCTTCTATTTATTATTTTTATTAACCCTGAGCTCTTTTATACCTCTCCTCCCAATTAAACCTCACGAAAATGCAATTTCATCCCCAAAATTAGACTGACTTTGTGGTTTAAGGATGCAAGACCCACACCAAACACAAATGTTGGGAATCCACATCTTTCCCTTCCTTGCCCCAGTGGGCCTCAGGGCCCTTCTTCCTTCTTTTCTCTGGAGGGTGTAGACCGGGGGAGGTCTTGGGCTGAGGTCCTTGCAGTTTTCTCCACAAACCCGGTGGACCTCCCAGCCAAACTCCTCGGGTCTGAGAAGGCACCAGTAGCGCAGGATCATCCTGGGTCTGAGCCTCCAGAGGGCCTACCATTTGGGTGCAGTGAGAATATGGCCCAAAGGGGAAAGGAGTGAACCCTGGGCCTGGCTCCTGCGGGCTCACAGTTTGGCAAGTGGTGGGAAACCTGCCTCTTGGGTGGGGCACGTGGATTTGGGGCCTGGAGGGGCTGGATCCTTCAGGCTTGGCCTTTTGGGCCCTCGGGTCCCACAGAGTGGTGAGGACTAGAGAAGAGTCATTCAGACCCCTTGCTGTCTCTTTGTTTCTGCCAGTGTCTCTGTCTCACACTGATACTCATTTTTCCCTCCAATGGCCTCTTCATGCCCCCACTTCAGGCCTGGACCCCCCACCTCTAGCCCCAGGCCTGGCGCTATTGCCCTGGGATGCTGGTGGGGACAGAGCATTGACATGCAATGAAGAGACTTGTCGTGGTAATGACGTTCCCACAAACGCGGCTCCGCTGGCTCCAGGATCGACTGGGGCGCTCGCCTGGGCCTTTCTTTAAGGCCCAGAACTCCGGCGGTGGCGCAGAGCCCGCAGGCCCTAATCTGCACCTCAAAGGCACCCTCGGCGGGAATACAACAACAGTTTAGCAAGCCCTAGAGGGTGCGGAGCCAGAAATCTGCAGGTCGCTGGTCAGCAAGGGGGGGATGGGTGGAGAAGATAAAGGGCCTTGAATGCCTTCCCCAGCCCACAATCTGAAAGAAAGCGAAACTTGGAAGTTTCCTTAAGCACAGTGCGGCGACATCCGAGGGTGTAAAAATCCCACGCTCCCAGGCCTAGGATTTGGCCTACAGCTCATGCTCTGAGGCTGTGTCCGCTTGCTGGGAAGGTGTAAATGCTCGCGGCGGCCCATCTCCCGACTTCAAGCCACTGCGTTGGGTGGCGGGCCCTGGGGCAGCCCCTCAGGGTGAGTGGTGCGAGTGCTGGAAGTTGACCGTTTTCCGGGTGGAGCGTGGCACTTAACCTCGGGCTGTGTTCAGCCAGAGAACTGTGATAGTGTGCAGGTGGGGAAAAGGAGTGCAGGGCAGGGCCGCAGGAGGGTGTCTCTCATGCTCTAAATCCCCCTTCCAGCTCGAGCCATTTCTCTAACTTTTGGGAGGGCCTCTGGCCTACTCTGCCTGGCTTGGGGAATTTGCAGCGGCCATCCGGAAGGAGAAATTGCCCTCAGCAAAAGGGGGAGGGGAGAGGGAGGTGGTCCTCCCTCCTCTTGCTTTCCTTCCACCTGTTAAGAAAATCTTGGATTTGTAACACCCTTTACCCCCTCTGCAAGGACACACTTTGGAGACCTGGGAGGCCTGGAGATTTGCAAAAGACAGGCCTAGATGGAATCAGAAGTCGTTCCTAGAGCAACTCTGAGGCAGAACTACTGTTGGTGAATTTGCAGTATTCAAGAGAGAGAAAGACACACAAAAACTTTTTTATGGAGGACAAATGAGAAGTTTGACCAGAAAAATTAATTACTCCGTATTTCAAAGGATTACATCACGTCTTTCTTTTTAATTTCTTCTTTAAAACAATTCGCCAAAACAGAAGGAAAACATCTATAAAGCCCCGCTGGGGCAAGCCGGTCACTGTGTGGAGCCGGGAAAGCCTGGACTGGCCAACCTGGACCAGGGGGTGGCCCCGGGGCCTCGGGGTTCCGCGTCAGCCGGGCACTGCGCCGCAAGTGCGCCCGCTTTAGTAACATCACCAAATCATGAAGGAACTCTCCCTGCTTTAATTAAAAAGGGGGATCTTGGGAAAACTGGAGCAGATTAGCACAGCGAAGAGTTGGTTCCCAGCGACTTATTTTGATGCATGCATGACACGAAGCACACATGTCGGTATTTCCGCACAACTCCAGGAGCGGCTGTGAGTCTCCGTAGGAGTTCTGTATTTTGTCCAGATCGCACCTACGAAACCCTTAGCCCCAACACCACGTTGAATTATCAGTCAGCCCTAGCTTCATACAAATGAGAGGAAAATCATTTAACCCCTGGAGCTGTCAACTAACTTCTTCGGGGTACAATTTTTATTTTACACACGGCAATTAAAGGATCGCAAACCCCAGCCGAGCGACTGGAGCTGTTTGGCAAAATTCTCAACCTGGGGGTGGGGTGGGGGGGATGGAGGGGGTAAGCGCAAAGCCAATAAAACTCCCTGGGCGCTGCGGCCCGAGGTGGTGGCTGCCGCGAGCGGAGGCGATCTCTTGTTGGGCAGAAATCCTGGAGTGACTTTGCCGGTCTTGGTTTGATGATTATATTTAATTGCGAAAGGGATAATAATTTCTAATAAAATTGGACGGGGCCGAAAGGACAGCGCGGTTAGCGCAGGCAGGGGTGAGGGAGAGGTGGTGAAAGCCGAGCCCCAGGCGCAGCCGCTTGGACCCTGCACGGTGCCGGGTTTTTGCGGAAGGCTTCTCCCTCGAGAAGGAGAGGAAGAGGAGAGGGGCGGAATGGCGCGGCGGCGGCGACCGGAGGTGGCTGGGACCGGGGCGCGCGTCTGGTCTCCGGGGAGATTCCTCGGCTCACAGGCAGGCGTGCGCTCTAGAAGCAAGTTCGCCGCTCGGAGAGGCCTTTATACCTGGGTCGGAGCGGCCGGCCGCAGATCGCGGTGCTGGCGAGCAATTGGACTATTGTTGATATGCTAATGAGGCGATTAGGCTGTTGGTAAAGAGCTGGAAAAGGGAAAAGTTTCTACCATTAGAGGGAGATCTCCGAGCGCACACGGGAGCTCTTTCCCTTCTCGCCTCCTCCCTCCTCCTCACCCTCCTCCTCCTCGCCCTCCTCCTCCTCCTTTTTGCCCTCCTCCTCCTCCTCCTCGCCCTCGCCCTCCTCCTCCTCCTCCTCGACCTCCTCCTCCTCCTCCTGCGCTCACCGCCGGCAGCCGACACTTTGCGCTTACCCAGAGAGTAGCTCCACTTGGGTGCGAGGCGGAGAAGGGGGCAAATCCGTTCACGCCGATCCATGAAAATGCTTTGGAAACTGACGGATAATATCAAGTACGAGGACTGCGAGGTAAGCGCGGCGTTGGTTATCCTTGCGGCCGCAGGCTCCGAGATCTACCTTCCCGCTCCTCCTCCTTTCCTCGCAGCCAGCTGCGAAATGCGGGTGGGACAAACTTTCCCCAACGCAGCGCCCGCCTCTCCAATTCGCCCGAAGAACTCAAGGGAGAAGCTGGAGAGGAAGGATGTGGACGCTGTCTTCTTTCATTTTCCTCCTTGGAAGCTCGTGTCCCACTTTCCCCCCTTCTATTTTTCGGCCAGTTTTGGGACTGCTTAAGAGTGGAAAGAGGAGCATGGGTTTTTGAGGCAGTTGCTGGCAATTGGGCATGCGTCTGTGCACCCTGCGTGTGTCTTGAGCGAGATTCTGGGAGCCCGAGTCACCAGGAAGAGAAAGGAAAGAGAAAAACCCATTTGCCTCCTTAAGTCCTCTCGGATCTTTCATATTCCTTCTTTTATTTATTCATTTTTCCCCCCTTCCTTCCTATCTTCCTCCTCCCCCTTTCTAAAAAAGAAGGGTCTTTTCTGTTTGGAGAAGGCGCCCGCACACTTCGCTCAGAGCTGTGTTGCACCTCCCAGTTATCGGGTTCAGTCTGGAAGCGCCCCTCTCCCAAATTGCTGCGGGGCTCGCTCTGGGTATCTGTGTTGCTGAAGAAGTTCTAAGCACCTTCTCCCTCTGAGGGATACTTTGAGAGCATCCCTGGGGCGGAGGTGGGAGGTCTGCACCGCGTGGAGCCGCCTAGTTGCCGGGTCCTCAAGCTGCGGGCCCTGAAGCCGCCGGGCGGTCGGCTGAGTGACCGTGGGAATCCTGGCCCGGCTGCACACGACCTCCGGTGCGCTGAGCCCGCGGCGCCGGTGGAATGCGCCTCTTTGGAGCCCATTTTAAAACCCAGGGTCTCCAGAGCTCGGGTTCTTAGGGCAGCCGGGGAAGCCCCAGCACCACTGGCCCGTCCGCGGGAGGCGCTGGGAACCGGCCTGGCTGCTGCAGCCCCGAACTCCTTCACAACCACCGCTGAAATAAGCGGAGGAGTCACAGGAGGGGGAGGGGGCCGAGGCCGATGATTACCTAAATAGGTGGTAGTCCCGGCTTTCGATATTTTTTCTTCTCTGTTCCTTTCTTTCTCTTTGGCATTTGGAGCTGGAAATGTCTGGAGCAGAGGTCTGTGCGGGCGCAGCAGCGTGGGTCTCGTCTTCACTTGAAATCAGAACCCGGGTTTGTGTGAACGGTGTGTCACTGGTTCCCTTCCCCCTCTCCTCTCCTTCGACTATTTTAAAATCTTTCTCCTTTCCCGGGCTCTTCCTTTTCGCCTTCCCCTCACCCCTTGGGGCACAGGGTGACATCCCGCGGGGACGGTCTCTTCTCTGGGGGCTCCTGCTGTGCGCCGTGCGGGGCGCAGAGACCCCAGGGCACACTAGCCGCTTTGTTTTCAGGCCCGTGGCGGGGGAGGGGGGGAGGGGGGAAGGGGGGGGCGGGGGTGCTCTGCGAACTGGTCCGAGTTAGCTCCTCAGTCTCCGCAGGTGAATTGTCGCCGCTAGGGCTGTGGCCCGAGGCTCGAGCATTTCACCTTCGCGGAGGCCGAACCCCAGCTCTGGGTGCTAAGCCCTCGGCGTGCGGGGTTCGAACCTCTGCACGGCGGTGGGCGCCTATGAGACCTAGGTGGGAGGCAAAGAACTTGAGGGACCCTGTGGGGGCGCGTGTGAATGTGTGTGTAAGTGAGGCAACGAGAGAGAGAGAGAGAGAGAGAGAGAGAGAACACAGTGAGGGCTGTTTCAACAACTTTGACTGCGGTGGGCGAGCGCCGGAGCAGGGATTTCGGGTTTCCGAGCCGGCTCAGGGCTGTCTAATTATGTCGGGGCTCTGCAGGGACACGCAGGAGGCGAGGTGCCGCTTGTTCTGACAACCCAGCGGGCAGACTGGCAGCGACGGCAGCCTTGCCGCGCTGGGAGAGAGCGAGCCGTGTCAGCGGATGGGGGGGGTGTCGGGCGGGAGTGGCCCAGCCAGTCGGACGGGTTTGCGCCGGGAGCCGGGAGCCCGTGCCAGCGGCGCCCGGGCTGGGCCGCTTAGCGTCTCTGCGCGCCCCGGACAGCGTCCCGGCTCTCGTCCCCGAGCCCCTGCCCCGAGAGCTGAGGGCGGGGCGGCAGCTGCCGCAGAGCGAACGGCCCGGGCTGTCCGCGGGAAGCTTGAGCGGCGGCCGAGGAGAGGGCCAGTGGAGCGGGCGGGCTGGCCGGTCCCGGGCGGGGCGCCGGGCCATGGAAGAGCGGCGCGGAGGCGGGCAGCCGAACCCCGAGTCCCAGGCCCGGCTGCGGAGCGGAGGAGTCCGCGGCCGGAGAGGGCCGGGCAGCACCTCCCGCGCGGAGAGCCCGATGAATGCTCGGACGCGGTCCCCGGCAGCTCCTGCCCGCGACTCGCGGCCCCCACGGTATCCCGAGGTCTGCCCCAGCCTTTTAGGTCTGATTGTCCTCGCTCGCTTCCTCTCCCCCTCCCCCTCCCCCTCGGCCTCCCCCTCCGTGCGCTCCGGCTCGGCCCCCTCCCCCTCCTTCCCTCCCTCCCTCTTTCCCTCCCTTCCTCCTCTCGGGCTCTCCCTCCTTCCCTCCCTCCCCGCTCCCCACTCTGGGCTCCACTCTCTCACCCACACTTTCTTTCTCACACACGCACGCAGACACATTCTCCCTCTCTGCGCTCTCTCCCTCGGTTTCCCTCGCTCCCTCTTTCTCTTTCACTTTTGCATGCCCTGCAACCTTTTAAAATGTTGCCCCTTCCCTGTGATTCGCCAGACGCCGCGCCGCGGCCCCCCGCGCGCTCGCCCGCTCCCTCTCTCTCCCGCTTTTTGTCTCTCGCGCTCCCTCTCCCCACCTCCGATTTGCTACACTGAGGCTCCCGTCAATGGACTGCATTGAGAGCCGGCTCCGGCGCGAGTTGCCTCTCCGCTTCACGCTCGATTTCCAGGCATTCTTCCCTTATTAAGTATTCGTGTAATATTAATAGTCATGAATATCTGCTATTAGGAGGCTCCAGGAACGCTACTCAGCGCGGTTATTAGAAGCTCAAGCGAAGCCGCCGCTAAGAAAAGAGGGGAGACACGGATTAAGGAACACGCACATACACACAGACACACACACACTTTTTTCTTTTTCCTTTTTTTGGGGTTTTTCATTTTTTAAGGAACTTTGAATCATAACCGATCACGGCAGGATAGAGACCGTGGGTTCGACCAGCTGAAGGCGCCGCTCGAATCGGTGGTTCAAGTTCGGATGGACCAGAGCGGGGCTCCAGCGCTCGGGGGAGTGTCTGCGCCGTGACTGGAGTCCTGGGTGGCGCGGGGCTCTCGGCGCCTTTTGTGTGGGGCGCGCTCGGGCGGCGGGGCAGCCGGGCTCTCCAGGCTTGCTTGTTTTTTTCCACCCTGACTCGTTACCCCAGACTCTTCGCAGATGTTAGTTCACAGTTTTTCAGCTATGGTGAGTCCCATCCCCACCCCCATCCCTGTTTCCTTAGGAATTCTCTTCTGGAAACCTGGTGCTGCGGAGCTGCCCCAACCTCGGGTTTCCTTCAGGGCACCCCTTTTTCCATTTGCATTTCGCTCTTTCCCTCTTTTCTCTCGCTTTTTTCATTCTTTAATCGAATGCATTACCCCCCCGCCCCCGCTCGACCTCTCCCGGCGCGCAGACCTACCTCGCCGCTACTTACCCAGGCGTGTTCCTAGCCACGTTCATCCTTATTTCTTTGCGTCTTCACTTGTTCCCGAGGTGTTCTCAACGTTTGATGCTTAATCCATATGCAGGAAAAACGCTGCCCGGTGTGTCCCCTGCCCTCGGGGCCGGGGCTGAACCTCCCAGGGTTCGCACCCCCTGGAATCAACTCTGTTCGCTTGTTTGGCAAGCGAATTGCAATAGAGGAACACAAGTCTGGCGTTTCTTCTGCCCTTTGGGGCTGGGGTGCAGGGGGCGGGAGCCTCCGCGCCGGGTTGCACCTCTCTCTTTTAAACCCAATAAGGCTGAATCTTTCTATTTTAAACCTTGACTTGACGACCCCCCTCTCCCCATCCATATTGTAAATCGACCCTATTGAGAAAAATGCTCCTAACTGAGAAAGCGGAAAAGACAGAACCCCATCCTGCAGTTAAAACCTTCTTTAAGCTGGTAATTTAAAGGTGTGCTTTCGTTACAGCCCCTCTACAAAATGTTTCTATTTAAATAGTCATGAAAATGGTAATAGTCTTTGAACGTGTATGATTTTTTCCCCCCCTCCAAATAAATGGAACAGGGTAAACAATAACGCAGTGGCAGGCAGGTTCAAATCCGGGGGAAAAAGAAAAGGCCGCTTCTACTGTTCAATATTTAGCAGGAATTTTAATTTTGCTTAAGGGAGGTTTCATGCTGCAGCTTAACGGGCTGTATTCTGGGAGGCCTTTTTCTGTCCCCCCCTTCCTCCCCCCACTTCGAAAAAAATGCCTAAACAGAGCCTCTCATGCCCCCACATTTGCACGATCTAATTCTCTGCGTTTTTGGAAGAAGCCCGTCTCACTTCTGGGGGTACCGAAATGAACAACTTAGAGCTCATTTCTTTCGGCGGCCTGCCGAGGGGAATGAACGGTTTCCCACGCAGTCTTGCGGAGTGGATTTAGAGTGGACAGATGTAACTCGACGCCTGATTTCTTGTTCTTTCCCCCCTTCTTCTTCTCTCTCTCAGGACCGCCACGACGGCACCAGCAACGGGACGGCGCGGTTGCCCCAGCTGGGCACTGTAGGTCAATCTCCCTACACGAGCGCCCCGCCGCTGTCCCACACCCCCAATGCCGACTTCCAGCCCCCCTACTTCCCCCCGCCCTACCAGCCTATCTACCCCCAGTCGCAAGATCCTTACTCCCACGTCAACGACCCCTACAGCCTGAACCCCTTGCACGCCCAGCCACAGCCGCAGCACCCGGGCTGGCCCGGCCAGAGGCAGAGCCAGGAGTCTGGGCTCCTGCACACGCACCGAGGGCTGCCCCACCAGCTTTCGGGCCTGGATCCTCGCAGGGACTACCGGCGGCACGAAGACCTCCTGCACGGCCCACACGGGCTTAGCTCAGGACTCGGAGACCTCCCGATCCACTCCTTACCTCACGCCATCGAGGACGTCCCGGTAAGAGGCCTCGCGGGCGGCGCGAGGGAGAACGCAGCCCCTGCTCACCCACCCCCAGAGAAGATTAATCAGGACACACAGACTGTGGCCCCGGGTTTCCCTCAATGGCATTTACTTCTTCAAAATTCCATTTTATTTTTTGGGCGGACACTTGGAGAACCCACATAAACGACCGAATTAAGAAATTAAAAAGTAGTTGAGAGTTATAGCCCTAGAACAATGGTTCCTGGAGCTCCTTCAAACAATGCCTGCATTACCATTTCCACCGACACAAATAAATCAGATGAATGTCACCATTAACAATATCTGCCCCTCTCCAGGACAGTAAACTGTTTCGATTGGGAGAGGATCTAATTCCACCGCTGCGTCTGGCATGGGGGATTTATCCCTGTCCTGGAAAAGATGTTAAATTCAACCAAAAGAACTCATTAAATACCCTAGGAGTTTAAAATAAAGTGTGAACAACATATTAAGAAAATTATTTCTACCGGATTTCATAAGCACTAGTGATGTCTAAAAGTTCTGTGTGTAGCTTACCCTGATTAAAGAATAGTTAAGTAGCAAATCGGAGCAGAGGGACATTAAAATGAAGCCTTCTTCTCCTCCTAGGGGTGCTAAGTGCTGACCTCATAAATCATTAGCTGGGTTCCCAACTCCTATCAGAACCTGCTACACCCTAGATTAAATTAAATGTTTTGAGACTATTGGGCAATACATTATTTGAGTTTTAATCCAGTTATCGATAAATGCAGTTTAAAACGATTTCTGAATAAGCATGGTATTAGCACATTTACTGTTTACAGTGTAAACCAGGCTATTGATAATTTGAAAATACTTTCTGAAATTAAATTTAAACCAGCATCTCTGTTTCAATTCTACGTATTTATGGTTTCCTCACAACCCTCCTGAAATGGAATTAGAATGAGCCAATAATTTTATTAAAGCTGTAAAGGCTCTGTTAATGCTGCTTTTCTTTGGAGAGGAAATGTATCTGGATGTGATTTTTACTAAAATGCTATTTCAAATTAGTGCATCAAATATTGCAGCAATATGTCAGTTGACAGTTTAATGATTACTGCATTAGATTGCAAAGAAAATGGTCAGATGAACTTACCTGCTTGCTTGGTGAATTTAAAACATTATTTAAGTTACATAGGAAAATAGAAAATTTATTACAGCTCTCATTTGGTTCTCAGTTAATCACTGAAATTTGTTGGTTGTATTCAGCAGCCTTGCATGGAAAGAAGGAAAGCAGGCACTTGATCCATTGTGGGGTTTAGAAAGTATTGTGTGTATGTCTGTGTTCATAAATGTTTTTGGAAACTGACATTAAACAGTGCATTTCTTGGGAAGTAAAATAAGAGGAGCAGTAGATGAGAAAAAGCAATTAAAAAACAAACCTGGAAGTTGTGATCATTTCAGTTCTCCTTCCCAAAGAGTCTTCTGAATCCTTTTTCTAACCTGCTCTTTGGACATATTTGAATTGCAAAATGCACTGCAGCCCTTTGGAATTACTGTGAATTAGAATTGCTCTACTTTGCAAAAATTCCAAAGTGGCTGGTGTGAATTCTTAACACCTGTATAGTCACTTTTTGTGGTGAAATTAGTCAGCAGGAGAAATTAACCAAAAGATAAATAAAAACAAGGAAACCCAGTTGCTGCTCTTCCCCACCCTCCCCCACCTATTAAGAAAAAAATTCTTTCAAAGGAATTTGGGTCAGGAAAAGGGTTGTTTTCAATTTTCCCATTGCTGCAACAGTTAACCTTTAATAAGAATGACTGCTAAATATTTAAGAAAATCAAATTGATGGTGAAAATTATTTAATCATTAATATCTCAGTGGGGTTTTAAACTTAACAGTCTTCCCTGTATGGACAAGGTCTAGAAATAACACAAATAAAAGTATTATGCCACACTACATTTACTTTATGGGTTTAGGGTGCATGCATAAAGGGATCATATTTCCCCATATAGTTAAAACACAAGAACTGCAGCAGTAGTCATTTCTGAACATTTCTCAATTTAATTATACTTAAATCCAGAAGCACTTTAGGCAAGTTACAAATGAGAGCATTGAGTATAATAAAACCTGTAATAAAGCAACTTAGTACCATCCACCCGGAATCATTGCGATCAGGCACAATTAACAGGAGCATAAATCCAAGACAGAATGGAAAATGTTCGAATCAGTATTATTGTTGGACAAAGACTAGAGAAGGAAGTAATAGTTTTTTAAATGGTAATGCCTGTGTTTGGTAACGATTGCGAAATCTTCTATCTCAGCAGCCCTGGTGCTAATTTGTAAACACAGCCAGACATTATATTGCCTGTCAGTTTCTGCATTAGAAAACATGATTTCATTTTACTTTCTAATCACGTTTTGACTCTAGCACACACGTATACCCATCCATCTGTATAAAAAAAAAAAAAAAAGGAGAAAGAGAACGAGAGAGAGAAGGAAAAAAAAAAAAAAAAACCCACACCAACAAACCCGCTGCTGGACAACAGGGGGAAAAAATACCCTCAGAGTTTTTTGCTTTTGTTTTAATCGTTTTCATATTTGTTTCTCACACCCAGTTTAGGCTGTAATCGTCTTTAAAAATTATTTTTAGTTTTCCATAAGTGAAGGTGTGTATACGCCTTTGCTTTTTATCACATTACCTAAAACGCTTACAACACTCCCCTGTTACTCCCGCCTCTGTCATTTCTATTGTGTTTCCCTAGCTTTTGCTGCCTCAACACTGGTACCGCTAAAGTCCGAAGCCGCTGAGGCGCCAAACTAAAGCTAGGTGCATTTTTAAAGGTTAAACTGACTTTGTGAGAAAGATTAGGTGCTCCAAAACTTGGTTTAATTTCCAAAGAAAGTTTTATTCCCCACCCCCATCTCCTTCAAACATGGATTATTTGCTGGGGGAGGAGAAATTGGCCGTGGGTGTGCAGTGAAACCTCTTGAGTTCCAAAGCCTCAAATTCCAATAAGCCAAGAAGAGATGTTTATATATAAATGTCACTATACAGGAGGGGGAAATTTTGATTCTACACCTTCCCCTCCCCCCATCTTGCACAGAATATTCATTTCCTTTTGTTTTGATTACACACTTACATCCATGTGTATCCTTTTGTTGCAGCATGTAGAAGACCCGGGTATTAACATCCCAGATCAAACTGTAATTAAGAAAGGTAAGCCATTTCCTTCTACATTCCAGGCATGTCCTTACAGGCATAGTGCTATTTAAAAGAACTCTCAGAGCTGTATTTATTTTTTTCAAATAGGATTTCCTAAAGGCTCAGAATTAGCAAATAGATGGCATAGAACAGCCATGCTTTAAATGATCGGCTTTCAGTATGTTAGTAATGGCAACAGGCTAGCTTTGTTCATGATCTGACCATTTAATTTAGTTTAATGATATCTAGACAGACACATGAAATCTGTAATAGTTGAACTGATTTGGAAGTGGCATTTCAATTTTGAAATGGTTTAATAGTTAATCCGTTGTGTAAGTGGCCATGAGTATTAAGAAGTGTATAATGCTAAAATAGTGCAAATAATTCAACATCAGTATGAGAGTTGTGTCTTTTGTACCACTCCTTAGCAGAGGAAGAAAAAAACTTTCATGTTCTTCAATTTAATTTCTCATTAGCTGTTTAAGGGTTTTTAAACTTTGTGAATTAGGTTAACAAAAATTTGGCTTTTGGTTAAAATTAGCATCTTGAAGATGTCAGGATTATTAGCATAATTGTTCAGAGCAGAAATTGTTTTTAAAAAGTGTCAAGTGATTTGGATGGATTTGTAATTTGTATTGTGTTTAGTGAGTAGAAATAAAGTTTACTGGATTAAATGCTATTCACAGCAGCTTTTTTTTGTTGTTGTTATAGTAGCAATGAATTTACATTGCAGGATTCTAGGCACCACCAGAGGACGATGCTATATAAAACTGTTCTCATTTCTAACCCCAATCGGTATATTGTTAGCTAGTTTAAAGTTTCATTTTTGCATCTGTGAAGTCTTTGTCACGTCAAATTAGATGTGCAAGGGATAAATCTTAAGAGATGCTCTTTCCAAGTCGACATGATAATTGGCTCTTTTATTAGTAATCTCTCAAGAGTTCGTTTAACTCCTATTGTCTCTATTAGCCTCCCCAGAGCTATTAATGTCACAAGTGATCTATCCAAAACCTAGAGCCCCCCACCTCCCCATACATCTAGAATATCCCCATTAAGGAGGGAGGAGTACTGAGGAGAATGTATGCATATTATTATATATGTCTCCTTGTGGAATTTTAAAATACAAATGCATACAGTACGTAAATGGTTGTGAATGCATCTGAATTATACTGGTGTTGAGAAATGTAACATGGTAGTACACTTTTTCCTGGTCTTGAATTTTTTTCTATGGTGGGGCCGACAAGGAAGAGCTTGTGATTTTGCCTAGTAAGAATATATCCTCTCCACTTGCCAATGAAGACACTCAAGCAGACAAGGATATTAACTCTTTGCTCAACAGAAGGGCATTGATAGAGCCTATGGTAGGCCTGTTTATCTTTCTTCTCTCCCAGTTCAAAATGGGACTGTGGAATGCATTTCTAAACGGTCCTTTTTAAAACTAAACATAGGAAAGGGCCTATTTATCAAAAGGATGGGGCACTTGCCGTGTGTGTGACCAGAGAATCCACCACCTCCCAGCTTGGTGCCTTAGCTGAAATGTTCACATACAGGCCACTTAAGCCATCTAAACTCTCTGCTGATCTTTGTAACAATTTCTCCCCAACACTGAACTCCCCACCCCACAAAACCTCCAAAGTACACGTAGCTTGCTCTCGGTGTGCAAACGTAATCCCCTCCCCTGCACCCTATGCCCGTACTGCAGCACCTTTCCTCGGATGAGAGCCCTGAGGGTCACAATTTCACTACCATTTCTAGAGAGCACCCTGACGGCTAACAGGAAAGGGTCCAAGCAGAAGCACAGTCCAAGCTGGTGGGGCGAGGTGGGGGCGCCTCCCGGCCGCCGGGCGGGGTTCGCCGAGGGGATGAGGCTTGATCCCCAGAACGGGAATACAGCAGGGAATAGGACAGAAGGTGGGGTAAAGGAACCACAGGATTTTTCAGGGCTGGAAGGAAAGTGGGGGTTGCGGCGCAAGCCGGGGCGAGAGCCCGGGTCGGGCAGGACTTGGGAGGGACCCCCGACGCCCACACGCAGCTTCCCCGTCTGTCTCCGCAGGCCCCGTGTCCCTGTCCAAGTCCAACAGCAACGCCGTCTCCGCCATCCCCATAAACAAGGACAACCTCTTCGGCGGCGTCGTGAACCCCAACGAAGTCTTCTGTTCAGTTCCGGGTCGTCTCTCGCTCCTCAGCTCCACCTCGAAGTACAAGGTCACGGTGGCGGAAGTACAGCGGCGCCTCTCACCACCGGAGTGTCTCAATGCTTCGCTGCTGGGCGGAGTGCTGCGGAGGTGAGGCCCGGCACCGCCCTGCCCGCCCCGCCCCGCGGCCCGGGGAAACACTGCGCCTGCGCTTGGGCGGCGACGCAGACGGGCCTCGCGCCACGGCCCTCCCTTCGCGGGAAAAGAAAGGGGCGGGGAGAAAGGCGTAAAACGGGGTGGGTGGGAGCTAGGGGCGGGATGAGGCGGCGCGCGCCTGCGCTCTCCGCAGCCTTCTCGCGCGCTCGAGATTCTGGCGCGCGCTCGGTTTCGCCGCCGCAGCGCGCTCCCCGGGCCCTCCGCCCCCAACCCAACTCCTCGCGCGCACGCGCAGCTCACTGCACCGCGGGTTCAGTCCCGGCTGCTACAGCGGCGGGGCGCCGTGCAGCCGCCTTTTCCCTCCTCGCGTACACCTTGCACGCCCTGGAAAACTTCCTCTCAGGCGCCTTACTTTGCGTTACCTCCGTGTAGGGTCTCCGAAGGTAACCCACCGTCCCTTGAATAGGGTTTTAAGTAGAAGACATTGGCTTTCTCTTGAGTCCGCCGCCCAGCACCGTCACCGTCACCTCTGGCCAGACGGCGACTCCCGGTGCCTAAGGCGCTCACATTAGTGGTTCCCAGGTACTGCTGCCGCGACGTGCTCCAGGCAGCACGCATGACACGTGTACGTGCATTATGTGTAGTCGTTACCCACCAGTCATGTTACATACGTGGTAGGGATACACGTCTCAGCCCTGTGAGGTCGGAATGTTTCGTTTCCTAGATAAGATTTGATAAGGGTCTGCGAGGTGAAGCACCTTCCATCAGGGCAGGTTTCTCCCTGCTTTGGGCTTCGCCCTCTTAGGGTTCCACCCAACTTTGTGAGTGGTGGGTGGTGGGTTGAACTTTCCCAAATGATCTTTTTTCCTTTCCTTTTTTTTTTCTTTTTTTTTTAAAAGTAGACCAAGAACTTCACAGTTTGCCCCTTATTTATTTATTCATCAGTGGACCCATAGTCCCGCTCTGATGGGCATGTTCCACACAAAGCGTATAAAACCATTATTGGAAGGTTTCAGACATTAGCTTTTCCAGTGTTTTCTTCCTCCTTCACAGTCATTTTGGCTTCCTTTTGTAATCTTTCCCTGACAGATCTGAAACCGCCCTCTGCTTTTTCCTCCCCTTCCCCCACCCCCAGTATTGGAGACTGTTTACCTAGGGGAGTATAATCTAATCCACACAATTAAAGAGCACTTGAGTAGGGAATAAAATCTGAAATTAATTAATTTGCTGTTTTATTTAAACAATTTATCTTAACCACTTTCTGATTATGGGAGTCTATGTAGACATCTATTTAGAACCACCTCCATTGTCTCTGAAATCAGTGAAATTTTTAAAGGCCAATACCGGCTTTTGACATTTCCAGTTAGGCTACTGACATAGCATGTAAACAGTTGGTAAAATGAATTTCCCATTGGGGTTAAAGCCAGAGCAGGAAACGTGAGAGTGATGATAACTTTGGTTACTCTGAACAGCCTAACAGCGGTTCTAGCAAAGACAATTTAAAGACCCCATTGGGATTTGTGTGATTGTAACAACAGGGAAAATACACAGTAATCAGTTGAACTCAAAAATACGTCAAACCCCAGAGATGAGAACCGTGTTTGTTTTTTTGTGGTTCTTCTTTAGAGAGTTGGGGAATCAAAACCTTCCAACCTGCCACCAGGGCTGCAGGAATAACTGAACACAGGGGGTGCTCTACAGTTTAGCCTTTGTCTCCCATGAGCTTTCCCTACCATTCCTTCCTAGGTTTCCCTCCCTTAAGTATCTCGGGGCCATGATTCTCAATTTTAAAAAAGCACATGTTAGGAGGTTGTCAGAGTGACTATAATGTGACTCAGAGCCACCCAATGTTTTCTAAATCCCTTTCTTGCATGTATTTGTGAAACAGGGCGAAGTCTAAAAATGGAGGAAGATCTTTAAGAGAAAAACTGGACAAAATAGGATTAAATCTGCCAGCAGGGAGACGTAAAGCTGCCAATGTCACCCTGCTCACGTCACTAGTGGAGGGTAAGCGAGTCCACTTGCTAACAAGAAGGGAACTGTCTTCTGGGAAAATGGATAATACTCTGTGGCCAGATGTTTGGTTGTATTTTGTGTTAGTTGGGCAGTTTCTTTTTTTCTTTTTCTTTTTCTTTTTTTTTTTCTGGCGAATATAGCTGGAAGGGAACAGAATCCTGGCACGTCAAAAAACTATTTGCACTTACTCCTGTCCTCCTTTCTTCTTCCCCTTTGCCATAAAATTCCACCTCCCTGAACCCAATTCTGACCTAAACAAAGTGAAAATTTAAGAACTGCATATTCTCTCCAAGTTCCTGTCTCCTCCACAGAGCTCAGCAGTAAATCACTTAAGCTATTCTGACATCTGCGTTTGAGAAATGCGTGACCATTACTTCCTGAATTAATTTGGGAATCTTTGACCTGCATCCTGATTTAAGACCGTCCTGAAAGCTCAGGGTTATATGCCCTTTTAGTTTTTGTTTTCCAAACATATGCTCCCTTATCTCTTACTTAATTGTGCTTCTCTAGTGGCGGGGAAGAAAAGTGAACAATCTTAGATTTTGAATTGTTGGGCTAGGAAAGAAAAAAGAAACACAAGCCTTGCTGAAAGTTCCTCATGGCAGTTTTTAACACACACACACAAAGCTTCCAACCCCTTTAAAACAAAAGCTACCCCTGTTCTCACTCTGTGCCCTAGATACACTGTCATCAGAATCCACTCACATTCCTACTTCCTCTGGATTCCTTTTAAGTTCTTCTGATAGTAAATTGGCTTAAGTTTAGATGTGTTAGAAGGAATGTCTAAGCTGTCTTGCGTTTTCCTTTGTGTTGTGTTGGAAATGTCTCCTGCCAGTGGAAAAAGAAAGACACTTAAATGATCAGGTAGATATCAAAACTACCATTTATATTTAAAGAAGCATTTTGTCTTCTTTACACCTTACAGTTGAGGAGATAGATCACAGTGGAATTTGGGTTCCAGCTTTATAAAGAACTGTAGTAAAGTTTAAAATCATGCACTTGAGGAGGACTCCCAGGAGGCAATCTGTGAACAGCGTTAAAGATGATAATATAACCGTTAAACAATAAGCAGTTCTTCGGGGCCAGAAGCTCAACAACAGTAGCTTTGCATTAAAAATACCATTACATACAGAACCCACTTTGCATACCCCAAAAGAATTAAGCATAAGGGAAATGGTCGAAGTGGCTTTGGGTGTAGTGTGAGAGTGTGCATGAGTTTGGGGGTTGAGTCCTGTTCCAGGGAGGCAGTTTCTGGAGAACTGTTATTGTTTGTGATCCGCTCCATTTTATGGAAACAAGCTCTGCAGAGAGGGCTTTGATGCTCTAATTGGCGCATGCGTTCTTCCGGAGCTGGAGCTAATGGCAGGAAGCCCTGCAGTAAAAACCAACTGGTTCAGGAAATTAAAACCAAAGATTCGAAAATCAACAACACAGACAGACTCAGTGGAGTGACCCTCAAATCCTCTTGGTTAATCGGTTTGGATGAACAGATAATTATATGCGATCAAGTTAAAATGTAAACCTTTAGTTGTTCCCCTTGCAGAAAAACTCAGCGAGTAATTATGAATATCATTTATGAATGTGTTGATAGGTGTGAGGTTGGAATACAAGGAACATTTTAAAAGAGAAGTTGGGGAAATGTCATCAGGGATCAGGGTGGGTGGGGGATGGGACAGGAGGGTGGTGGATGGGATTTACATTTTCAAGTCATATTGGCTTTACTGGGACAAGTGGCCATTTTTCCTGATAAATTCATCTGCCAGATCCTACAGAGAAGGAAATAAAATGCCTGAAACGAGAAAACAAGTAGTTTGTGTTTTCTTAAACATCTGGGTTAAGAAAATAAGAGTGTTGGGAGGAAAATCTGACCTCAACTCTTTCCATTCTCTTGTGCTCACCTCCCCTCTCGCCTCCTGCCAGGAGAAGCAGTCCACCTAGCCCGGGACTTTGGGTACGTGTGTGAAACTGAATTTCCTGCCAAAGCAGTAGCTGAATTTCTCAACCGACAACATTCCGATCCCAATGAGCAAGTGACAAGAAAAAACATGCTTCTGGCTACAAAGTAAGGCATTTACCTTACCTCTCCGGGGTCTCTGTCTTACTGTCAAGAGAAACAACCAGAATTGTTTCTGGTCACACTTTTCTCCTCTCTTTGTCTGGTGTTAATCAGCTTTGTTGTCATAAATAATTGAAATTACCAACACAGTCTTAGAATCCATACTCAACCTTAAAGGGGAAATGTAGGTGGGATTCTTGGTGTGCTCCTATTCTTGTCCTCTCTTCTGCTCCCCTTTTTCAGTTAAAACAAAAAAAGTGTGTATGGAGGTGGAGTATGGTAGGGGTTTGTTGGAAGCTGAGTGTGGATTGGTGACTATGTTGTTTTAGAAAGACCAGCATTGAGTCTGTAAACGGGTAAAACAGGCTTGCTTGTATCAGTTTTTGTCTCCTATCAGTATGTTCTCCGAGAGCAAGGATTAAGCAGTGGCCTGCAAAATGTGCAAGCCAGAAGTTGTCCTAGTTTCAGCCTTAATCCCTTATCCCATTTCTTGCCTTTCTTTCACCTCCCTCCTGGAAAGTCTCTCTCTCTGTCTCTGTCTCTCTCGCAAGCACACAAACACACACACAGCCCACAAGTTTTAGCCTACAGGCGAGATGTCAAATAGGTTTCAGAATGGCCCAAGTTATATTCCCATCAGTGCTTGGGCTGAATAGGCTTCTCCAGGTGGTGTGTGAAAAGAAAATGACTGTTTTGATATGTTTTCTGGAAATTAAAAGGCTTGTTTGGAAGCCCTTAATTATCAAAGTTGATGTCACAGGAGGGCTTGGAACCAGAGGGCAGAGGCTGAGGCCTCAGGTGGGGCAGTGTTGTCCTGGGGACATCAGCTGGCCTTGGAGAAGGCAGCCTGCCAGTGCTCCCCCATTCTCCCTCTTCCCCACCTGCCTCATACCAATACCCCCATCCCCTCCAGACTGATGCTGCCCCAGGAGGACCCCACCTAGGCCTTGCTTCCCAGATTCACAGACAGCTTCCGGTGTACAGGCCTCTGCTGTCTGTACTTCCGACTTCTCAAGACCCTTTCTGAGATTTCAACTTTTTCTCTTCCCTTAGCTTCCTAAGCACACCTGTGTTCACAATTTTCCCTCGGAATGGGGAAATTGAAATTGAAGCATCTATTTCTTCTCAGAAATCAGTCTGAGGGGCACCTGGGTGGCTCAGTTGCATAAGCATCCCACTCTGGATTTTAGCTCAGGTCACGATCTCAGGGTCTTGAGATCTATCCCTGCCTCTCAGACTGGGGCTTGGAGCCTGCTTGAGCTCCCTCTGTCCCTCTTCCTCCCCAGCACTCTGTATCTCTCTCTGAGCCGGCTGTCAGTATCAGTCTGCATTGTCTCCAAGTAACTGATTTTTTGTGCATTTATTTAAAAGCAAAACAATCCCAAGAAAAGTTTGCCTTTCTGTCTGCATCTGCCTGATTTGTAGGATTTCATCCTACCAACTGAGGTCTCTCTAGAACAGAGCAGGAAGCAGGTCTCTCTGATATTTTGAACAGGACAACTGATGGCTGCATGCTATTGGCTATTGGGAAATGCTTTTGTTTCTGACTCCTCATCCCTCTCCTCCTCCTTTGTTTCTCTTCTAAACATGTGCAATGTTTCTCTGTGTCAGGGGTGTTTGGTGTGAGTGAGAAAGAAGGGGGCTAGCCGTTAGGTGTAGCTGGGGAGCGACAGAGGGGGAATTTGTGAAGGTAGGAAGGGCCACATTCAGTCAAATGGAGGGGTGACTGGGTCTTCCGTCTTGTGCCCCCCCCCCAAGTCTGTCTCTGGGGCCTTGGGTCAGGTCAGGGTTCACTGGATTCCGGTAGAGGTAACTGCAGAGAGAAAGGTTTTCTCTTTGCTGCTCATGCTGCCCACAGGGGAGCCTCAACTCTCTCTCCCCGCTCCCCACCCCCCTCTTTCTCTCTGCTTCACTTGTGCTGCAGACAGATATGCAAAGAGTTCACTGACCTGCTGGCTCAGGACCGATCTCCCCTGGGGAACTCGCGGCCAAACCCCATCCTGGAGCCTGGCATCCAGAGCTGCTTGACCCACTTCAACCTCATCTCCCACGGTTTCGGCAGCCCAGCGGTGTGCGCCGCGGTCACAGCCCTGCAGAACTATCTCACCGAGGCCCTCAAGGCCATGGACAAAATGTACCTCAGCAACAACCCCAACAGCCACACGGACAACAGCGCCAAAAGCAGTGACAAAGAGGAGAAACACAGAAAGTGAGGCTGTCCTCCCTGCCCTGCCTCTCCCGCCTCACCAGTCCGGCGAGCCCACCCACCCAGTCAGTCTCCAGCCCCCTACTGCCGCGGGCAGGTGACAGCTCCGGGACCAGCGCCCCGCCCCCCCCCCCCCCCCCCACTGCTGCTATTGCTGATGCTGCCGCCACCACCGCCACCACCTTCAGTCCCCCAGACGTTGGGGGACTCTCTGCCGTCAGCGGGCCAGCACCTGCTGACTGGGCCCCCAGCCTCGAAGTCCCTCGTCGGCACCAACTCCCCTTTGCCCTCCTGTGGAGCCTAAGAGAACAGAACAGGCCGTGGAGCCAGCAAAGAAAAGTTCTGTCCAAGTTTGTGAATGATTTTTAAAAAAAAAAAACAAAAACACAAAAAACCCAACAACTCAACAACAACCACCACCACAAAAAAGCTAAAAACACTTTTTTTCTAAAAAAAAAAAAAATAATAATAATAATAATAACATAAAAATTAAAAAAAAATACTATATGCGCTTCATGGGACTGAATCACCACCTTCCCTTACATACTTCAGATTGTAGCCATACTTTAAAAAAAAAGGCGTAAAGGAAAATGACATTTTTATCAGTATTGTGAATAAACTTGAACGCAAATACACGAAGTTCCATGTCATGTCTTCAGTTGTAGAAGTTTTTTCCTCTCCAAGGTAAAGCGACCAACTTGAACTTTCTCTGGCAACACGATTCACAGTTATATAAGGGAATCCGTGTTCACGTCTCTGTATATATTTATTTATGTGTAATTTAATGGGAATTGTAAATATGGTGAGTCTGTTTTAAGCCTCTCTTTTTTTTTTTTTTTTAATTTATCTGGTGATCTCGTTTACCTCTTGTTTAGTGGGTTTTGAATCTTCCCTATTAGTTCTTCATGTGGTTCATGGTACTTATTTAGAAATTCAAGGTTTGGGGGACTTTTTTTTCCCCCCTCTGGGATTCATGAATTTAGCCCTATTGTAGCATGTTAAAGACAACAATGAAACAGCTGAACAGAATTTTAAAAAGTAAAATAAAATTTTATATATAATTAGTACTACATTTAGCATTTCATTGAACTGAAAGAAAAAAGTTGATATCGGACCCTGGAAAGATTTTTAAACTTGAGTGGTTTGATAACCCTTCTATGTATTGTGGGGAGAAAAAAAAAAGTTTATTTTATTTCACTGTCCTCCCTTGAAAGCATCATTTGAGCAATAAATGAGTATTGTCTTTAAACCAAGGGTAAGGGATTCCCCCCACCCCCACACTCTGTCTCTTTCTTTCTCGCTCTCTCTTTTTGTTCAAAGAACTTCAAACATTTGGGACCACCTGGTATTCTGTATTTTCACTGGCCATTTTGGAAGCAGTTCGAGTTGTATTGTATTGAGTTGTGCTGGCGTAGTTTCCATGCCTGTCAATGTATCATAGTCCTTTGTTGCCCAGATAAATAAATATTTGATACGCTTTATGTCGATTTTTTTTTATTCAGTGGCTGTCTTTACCCAGGCGTATTTTTGTTCTTGGCAGTATTTTTTATTCAGTATGGTTACAGTAATTGAGTTTAACTCTCCCTTGGCAATTGCTCCTTGCAATAAGCAGCTGAACCCACTGTTTCCCTCAAGTATAATAAAAACTTACTTTCAACTTGGAGTTCAGAGCAGGGTATCATTTCGATATTCCACGGAGTCTGTATTCAGACAAATGACACAATAAAACCCAATGTATTCTTTTGGATAAAATATTGTTTGTACTGCTAAAGGAATGACATACTATCTTTTCCTTACTAGAAACATTAATTTTATTATTAAAAATAAAGTTTTATTTTATTTATGTTGATCCTTTAGGTTTTCATTTGTGTTCTGGAAACCACAATATAAAACCTTCAGAACCAAACATTAAGGATGATAAGGAAGATGGAGAACAGAACAGAAGACCCTCCCCCGCTCCCCCCACCCCCATAACTACTTTGGAACCTGTCTTAGAGGATAACTGAAATTTGAATTGTTAGTTCATTAGCACAAAGGAAATACCCACTTAAACCTTTACTTGCTAGCTCAGGCTTCTCTGCGCCTGAGACATGTAAATGAGCAAAATCTAGCTCTGGTATTCTGGAAAGAGAAAAGGAATGGTGGCAGAAATGCATGAAGAGGAGAGAAAGAGAGGGTACGTTGTCTCCCATTTATTTTAGTATTTTCTTTAGGGATGAGTTCACCACTATGCTCTTCTTAGGATCTCCTGAGATAGCAGAGATGAGTGGGGAATTATGTGGATTCCCAGAATCTTTTCTGCCCGCCCTCCCTAAATGTTGACCCACCCTTTTCTATCACGGAGGGGCTCCTCCTAGGACCTTTTAGAAATACAAACCGTGGTCTGAGGTGGGATGGAGAGGATGGGGGAGGGCTGTGCGTCCAGACCTTTCCTATCTGTCTTCTACAGTAACGGGGCTGTGTGCTCAGCTCTTAGAGCAGGAAGGACTTCCTGTACGTAAAAATGGCGAATTTAGTGCTTTTATAAAGTCTGATTTGGAAAGACTTTGCTTTGGAAGTGAGGGAGATTTTAAATGGTTTTTAAGAAGAAAATGGGGGTAGTTAACTGGAAGGTTTATAGGAAAGGTCATAGAAAAAGTGTCTAGGTATACACACTGGAGGAAATTTAGCATTTGTTCATCCAATTTGACATTCCGAAGGACTAAGGAAGCACAGCATTAGACAGTGTCCATTTTGCAGCCTTTTGCTTTCTAATCTCCTTATGGGAGGCCGTGTGAAATCAATCTCGACAGACGAACGAGAGTTGGTGGAGTCTAAATTCTATTTTCCAAAGCCAGAGAATTCACAACAATGGTGGGTTTAAAAAAAATTTTTTTTTTTTCAAATGGAAAGTGTATCCTTAGAAAGCCACGCGGCAACTGTTTTTTAAAGCGGTTATTTATTATTTCCTAGAGAGACTGGTTAACTGGAACCGTAGATGTAACAAAATAATGAGGCGAATGAACCCTAACTGTACATACTCTTGACAGAAATGAAATGCACACAGCATCGTAGCAGGTGAAGTGAAGCATTGTCTATCAGGGCTGTTTTTCTTGGCTGCATCTCAGATTGTGTGGGGGATCCTAACCTCAGGCACAATAGCATTCATAAACAGCCATACATTGCTGCTCTTTCTCCAACGACACATAAATACTCATTTTAAAACGAAAACAATCTTATTAAATACCATTCATTCATATCTGGATTTACAGATGCCTGTTATGTTGGAAAACCTGAACCCAATATAATCCTTGCATCCTGAGAAAGATAGAAAGGAAATAGTGGGTTAGAACATTACAAGGTCATAATAAACAATGGTTTCCAAATGCACAGAATTAGTTATTTTTATTCTGTAGTTGGACATTTTGAGAAGACAGAATTAGTTATTTTTATTCTGTAGTTGGACATTTTGAGAAGTAGGATACTGTGACTTGTTTTTCTTTCTTTTTTAATAAAAATTTAAAAGAAGTTATATATTTTAAGGGGTAGGGAGGAGTAGAGGGGTTATTATTAAAAATTTTTATGGGACTAATTGAAGACTATATAGATTTTTTACTTTATCTGTTGTAACCAATGTGTATTTTTTAAATCACATGGTGATTCTTGACAGGTCACATGTTTATATACTAACAACCATGATTCTCTTTGGATTAACTCAAATTAGGATACATACTTGAATGATAAGGATGCTTGCTAGGCTATGCTAATTACCACACCCAATTTTTATAAAAACACAATGCTCCTTTATTACCCCTTCTATTCTCCAACACCCTTTAAAAATCACAATCCAATCCATTCCTCCCCAAAATTGAGTATTAATATAATTTGAGTTCTTGATGGAACTACCATCAGGACTGCAATGCCCCGCAGCTGAAATAATATTTAAAATAGAAGGGATTTGACATTTGAGAAGTCAGTGGCTTGAAATACCCAGTTGTACTTAGCTAATTCAGTCCTTAACCTCTGGTTTCAAATAAATCAATTACAGTCGATTCCACTTCAGTTCAGAAGTGCACAGGGTTTTAGTTAATTGAATACATTTTATTCACTTGCTAGGAATATTCATTTATCAAAATTCCAAATTTAATGTACATTTCTTTACAACTCAGGTTATATTAGGCTGCACAATCAGATCAAGTTTGCCCTGGCTTCCCCAAATCCTGCTAAAAATCTGAATTCTACCAGTCTTTATGAAACAGGGTCTCCCCATTTCTTTCTCAATCAAAAGTAAATTCATCCTAATTTAATGGCAGGCAGGAGAGCTACTTTCCCCCACAAAGAAAAAAGTCCTATGTGGTCATCAACTTTGCGTTAAGTTTAAATAGGTTAAGAACAGAGCTGGATTAATTAAGTTTTAAAAAAGTATTGACCTGAAATTAAAAAAAAAAATTACGCATGGTTTTCATTAGAGCTTAACTTTGTTGCAGCTGACAGGTATGACAGCATTTTGTGGCCTTAAAGCCGCAGGCTCCTTTTCTTAACCCTCTCTCTTCCTCTGCCTCCTCCCTCCGGCTTTTGGAGAAGTGCTTGGACAAACAGCGAAATTGTTAACTGAAAGCAGTGTGGTTGAATGTGCCCAAATGAAGTTGTGCTTTAAACAGATTTTGATGTATGCAGTGTTTTATATTTATTGTTTATAGCATCCTGCTGGCAGCAGAGTACTGTTTGGAAAGGAAAGGGGTTAATTAGCGTCATTATCAATCACTAATGCTTGCCTAACGTGTCCAAAGAATAATCAAGTTAGAGGACGGCATGAAGCCAACAGCTGCTTCATCCCAGTTACAGATCTCCTAAGCCACTCAGTTATAGGGTTGGGGGGGTGGGAGGGAGGAGAAATGAGGGGAAGAATCCTCATTGCTTGGGTAAAAGGGCCATAAAAACCGGGTCAACTCGCTGGAGATCCAAGAGGCGGAAAGTACGACATAAATAACCAGCGTTTTCATTCTTTGAGTTACAGGTACAGAGATGTCAGCGGTCCTGAGGCCAGAGGACTGAAATTTGTTCTTTAATGAGCTTGATTATCCAAGTTGGATATTTGAAGAAACACATCTATGTTTCCCCATCGCTTAGTGTCATATGGTAAAAAAAG